TCTCAATTGGTCCAAATCAAATTTTTGGTCCGAATCAAAACTTGTTATAAATATAAATTAATAACGTACAAAATCTCCTGCCTTCAAAACTTTTTTTCCATATTTAAAACTTATAAAATATGTATGTAGAATATATCTTTTTGCGAGTTGTAACTTCTAAGACAACAACTTTTCATGCTGTTGATTAGAATTAATGATTAGAAAAAGGGATTATACTATCACATAAACTGCACTACCCGTAAAATCATCTCGTACCAAAAGTAATTTGAAGAGTATTACTTAATTCTGTTCTTGATAAAATCATCAGCTAAGCTGAAAAATCATAAGTTAGGGTACAAATTTTGTCTTAATGATTTCCGAGGTTAAGTCTGATGAAACTAATTGAAAAGAGCATACAATAGTTTTTACAACACGTAAATCTGCCTCAGAGAAATAACTAAGTAAACAACAAAGGAGAGCACTTTCAATTGAGCTGTTATACGATATCTCTGAAACGACTAACAAAAAACATCATCTGCTATTAAAATTAAACAAACATATTTTATCATATTTCTATGTCGCTAGTTCACGGAAATGTTTGAAATTTTGTCTTCCAGAAAACAAACATATTCATCAAATACTTAATAAAAATATGATTCAATATTCTTTGCATCCTACGGACCTCTAACACAGAATTGAATCTACGCTTCCAGAAAAAGACTTGCTACTGTATTTTAACCTTCTTTCTGAAAGGAACTTAACATGAACAAAAGATCAATGAAAGTTTAATAATGGTTTGTCTAACAATGCCATCAACTGTTGATGGCGACGTTTTGTCTGCCAAACCGAGAATCGTTTAGAATACACAGTTTGATCGACGACTCATGGAGAGTCGATCATTTATCCAATCAAAAAGCAAGCGTTAAACATTAATTCTATCAATAAATGCTAAGTTTTTTCGTTTATCTCACGATGTAGTCACGTGTGAGACAAACGAAAAAACCCAGCTTTTATTGTTATTCACCATGATGAATAACCACAACCTTTTCTACGAAATAATTCTATCCTTCATAACAATGACATTTTAATTGACATGCGATAATTAAGCAACAAGAGGTGCCTATCCGAGCCTTATGCTTCTGACTTAAGGAACGCAGGTTTAAGCGCCGTAGTTTGTAGTTGGTATTAGTTAAGGCTTTGCACTAGTACTTTATTCCTTCATCTCCTAATTCTTTGTCACTGATGTCTAAGCTCGTTAATGTGCAGTTCTTGTTGGTTAAAGCTTCAGGTAAGTCCTTTAATACCCTATCTCCTGATCTATTATGACTGAAATTTAAACTGGTTAATCAGTGTGCAGTTACTGCTGGTCAAAATTGTAAACAAGAGCCTTGTTCCTTCATCCCCTAGCCTATTGCAACTGACGTTTAACTGACTTGATGTTAGGGCTGATCATTGCATCACACAAGTGTTTTAATCCTGTTTTTCGAAAGAAAGTCCCTGTGACGGTCGAATTGGTTAATTTGAAGTTAACACTGATGAGCGCGTTACACCAGTGTATTATTTCTTCATCTCCTAACCAATTGTCACTGACGTTTAAGCTTGTTAAATTGCAGTCACTACTGATCGGTGCTTCACACAGGTGTTCTAATCCTTGACTTTGTAAACCAGTGCCATACGGTGTCAAGCTGTAAAGTTCACTCTGGGTAAGCACTATACTCAAGTTCTTCGAACCTTCATCAGATATCCGACTGCTAGAGAGGATTAATCTGGTAACTTTCCAGTCCCTGTTCGTGATCGTTTTACTCAGCGTTACCAAACTAGGATCGTACTCTATTGGCCACCCCTTCAATATGCCTGACGTCAAACTGTACAACGGTATACTTAACATTTCCTCGTTCTCCTCCCACACTTCATGATACCAGTCCCATGACAGTTTACGTGTTGTAGTTCATCCATAAACAACAGCACCACTTGCCATGCACCTC